GTGCTACTGATTTTACTTTTAGTACATTCTTTTACTATTATATCCATTAGTTCCTTTATTTTAACTGTAAATATCTACTGTAGTTCATAACTCACTTGTTAAAATAATTAAGGTGCTATTAGATACTTCATTGTATAACTGAATTATCAATTCTGTAATAATCCCTTTTTCTTCCAAATTTTTACAAGTTTTAGATTAATCACGGAGTCTTAGTCATAAGTCTAGTTGTAGATTCAATATAAATCTTATATCATTTTACTCAGAATATCTAGTTTGTAAAATTACTCTCATCCTATGATTACAGGCATAGATCCTGATGTAAACTTTTTACAAAACGAATTACATGAATCAACCAGTAACTGTAATTACTACACAGTAGACCAAACAAAGACATTACTCAGTGCAAACAATAACATAAGCATCTTTAACTACAATGTCAGATCCTTGAGCAAACATTATGATGACCTCACAGCATTACTCAGTTCCCTTCATTCCAATATATCAATCATCACACTCACAGAAACCTGGCTTAAGCCTGATATTACAGATTTCTATACCATTCCTGGCTACATGGCCATACACAACTGTAGAACAGACCAGCAAGGGGGAGGAACAGCTATATACTATTCAAATCAATTCGAATGTATCAATAAATCTTGCACAAGGGATGAACATGGAGAATATATCATAGCCAAATTTAAATCAAAAGACCTGCAAAAACCCCTCACAGTTATAAACATCTACAGAGTACCACAGTCAAACATTTATCACTTTAGTGAAAAACTAGGAAACATGATTACTGATGCACACATGAATAAAGACCACCTACTACTAACAGGTGATTTCAACATAAACATACTACACGACCAGGACCCACAAGTAACCGAATTCACAAACACAATGAGTAACTGCCTGTTGCTACCAGCAATATCTAAACCTACAAGAATCTCCGAGACAAGCATCTCCTTAATAGACCACATCTGGACAAACACCATATCCCCTTTAAAATCAGGCATAATCACGGACAACACTACAGACCACTACCCAACCTTTCTCATAACTAATCTGGGCAAACTACCACAAGACATTACTTAAGTAGCCTTCAGACTACATAACGAGACAGCAGTTAACAACTTTATAGCAGCAATGAATAGCATCGATTGGCAAAATGAGCTTGAAACATATACAGATATGAATGAATGTATAAATAATTTTCTAAAAAAAAGCCCAATGCCTCTATAACAGACATTGCCCTAGAAAAACTAAACAGATCACAGCAAAGAGACTGAATAATCCCTGGCTAACACCAAGCATCCTCAAATCCATTAACACAAAGCACAAATATGAAAAACAGTATAGAATGGGTCAAATAACTAGAGAACAGTCGAGAAATTACTCGTCAGCACTTACCAGCCTGATAAGAAGGTCAAAAAAATTGTATTATGAAAATAGATTACATAACATCAAAGGTGATATGAAAAAAACCTGGAAAAACTCTATCTGAAATTCTTGGAACTAAAAAGTTATCCAAAAACAAAGCAATCAAACTAACAAAATCAGATGAACCCCTACTCCAACCGAAACAGCAGACTTAAAGTTTTCTTCTCCACCATAGGAAAAAATCTAGCAAACAAAATACCAAGCACAAACGCCCATCCATCAGACTACCTCATAGGAACCTACCCAAATACGCTATTCCTAGCTCCAACCAACCACACTGAAGTTATGCTCATCATAAACACCCTTAAAAACAAGGCAGGAGACATAAACAACTTGCCTACTTTTATGTACAAAAAAGCTTCTCAAGTATTGTCACCAATTATTGCAACGCTCTTTAACAAATCCATTGAATCATCTACCTTCCCAACAATCCTCAAAATAGCGAGGGTCACTCCGATCCATAAAGGAGGTGACCAAGCTGACTTGAATAACTATAGACCAATATCTAACTTACCACTGCTCTCTAAAATCTTTGAAAAATTAATTCATAGATGGATCTCTTCCTACCTCAGTTTAGATTCAGGAACAATAAAAGCACAAGTGACGCTATCATACACATGCTAGAACTAATATATACCGCACTTGAAAAGAAAGAAGTCCCGCTGGGCATTTTCATTGATTTACTTAAAACTTTCGATACAGTCGACCATGAACTACTGTACTCCAAATTAATGCACTAGGTTATCAGAGGCCACTCCCTCAACCACCTAAAGTCATACCTTAGTAACAGAACTCAATATGTATATGCAAATGATGCAAACTACTCCACCCAACCAATCACAGTAGAAGTCCCACAAGGAAGCGTCCTTGGACCACTCCTCTTTCTCATCTACATCAATGATCTACTGAATGCATCACAGCTACTCAAACCCATATTATTTGCAGATGACACTTCATATGTATTTTCCCACCCAAACGCAGTCATACTAGCAAACACAGTCAATGCTGAATTACAGAAAATATCTGCCTGGATGATGACTAACAAACTTACCCTGAACACTGATAAAACCTATTTCATTCATTTTGGAAACAAAGCTGCAAATGATCCAATAAACATTACGCTAAATGGATCATCAGTCACAAAACTCACAGAGGGAAAATTCCCAGGTATCCACCTTGACAGTAGCCTTAAGTTCCAGACACATACAACAAATCACCAAGAAAATCTCCAAGACTGTAAGCATACTATCAAAGGTACTACGTTCCACAATCAGATCTCCTGGCACTGTACCATTCACTCATATACCCTTATCTTACATATGGAATTTGTACATGGGGATCAACAACATCCAATCACCTAAAACCCCTAATAACCCAGCAAAAGGCAGCAGTAAGAAAGTTAACAAATTCCCACTCCTGTCAGCATACTCCACCAATTTTCAAAAGTCTGAATCTGCTTACCATTAAGAACATCCATACTTATTCATGTGCCTACTACATACACAGAACAATACACGGAAATATAAACCCCTCACTCAAACTTTTCCTCACCAACCTAAACAGGACACATGACCACAACACAAGATACAGATCTCTTTTTGATATACCTCGTGTCCATATCACACTGTGTAAAAACTCTATGCACATAAAGGGCCCCAAAATATGGAATTCATTAGCTGAAGATATTAAAGTAACCCAGTCTGAAAATCAATTTAAGACTCTTCTCAAAAGCCACTTAATCACCTTAGACTAAATGCTAAATACTCAGTATACATTTACTCACCTATGTACTCCCACATCATAACTGAAACAATCACACTGAACCTTTTATCCATTGTTGACAGGACTATAATTGAATCATTGTTTTTCACAAAAGCATTTTAGAATATAAATACGTATATCTTTGTATTATACAAATTTTGATTCATTTATAATTATTATTCTACTGTACAACTATGAAATAATTACTTTCCTACTGTACAACTATGATATACTGCTCCTTAGTATTAAGTAGAATAAGCCAGTAATGTTAAGTTGGCCCATAATGCCAAGGCATAATAGAGGCTCTCTTTGTATTGCATCCCACTATTGTATATACACAGTCTCAATGTACTGTTTGCAAAGACATTAAATAAATAAAGTAAATAAATAAATAAATATCTCCAGGCCTTTCTTACATTACGCTTGCTTTTCATTTTGAATTTTTATTCATACAAAAAAATAGAAAATTTACTTGAATGCAAACTGCTGCATTATTGTAATAATTGTATAAATGATGTTGGTGCATTCCTAAATGAGTATCACACTGGCCAGTTGGACACGTATTGAACAAGTGATGTCATTTGCGTACTCTGGAATATTGGTAAAAATCAAAGACTTCTGCTACTTTGAGCTCAATTTCAGTCCTGAAACTAATCAAAATTATCTCTATTCCTATAATATATCTTACATTTTATCAAATGAGGCCAAGAAACTGAGAATACAACCATAAAAAACATACAAAAATACACTGCAAAGTTGCTGTTTTAAACCAAAAACATAATCATAATTTTTTTCTCATGCACTGTGTGCTGCAGGATTTTTTTTATATGGTGCACACTTACCGCATAGACCCATTCTCCTATATCTAGGCCCAGATTTACCACTCACAGCTGAGTTCGTGGTGTCATACTATGGGACCAACACTGGCTTGACCAATACCAAAAGGGTTAAATGTTAGTTTCCAAAAACTTTATAGTGCAAGCAACCTGGACAGTTTTCACAACGTGTCTGCTTTGGAAAGAGTTTCATTAGCTATGTACAATAAAATCTCACATTTCATGTTTTTTTATACATCATGTTTGAAATTTATTTCCAAACTTGACAGATTGTGGGAAATGGTAGTTTTTCATGGCATAATGTTTTAAAAGAGGCATTTAGTCATCTGTCTCATCATTGATGAGAGTAAAAAGATTTTGGAGTCTGCTGAGTCCTACAGTTTAAAGGATTCATTATTATGAGAAGCATCATGTACCTTTGTTGATTCCTCAATAGTTAAAGTAAAATTTCTGTCCTCAGAATGCAGTCTCTGTCATAATTTAGTGACAAAATGTTCATTGTAAATGTTGATTCTCTTGTTAGTGCCTGCACTTGAACATGGGGTGTTACTAGTGACCTGTAACTAAGATTATTTTATAAAAATAATGGGAAACGGAGAGAATTGTAGTACTGAATGAGGAGTAAAGTTCATTTCTGGAAAATAATTTGCTTTTAAGTGTGAAACATCATGTATTGTACCAATAAAGTCTTCTCTTGATCTGGTGTTTCAACTCTGCAGTGTTGTCAGCATGAGGTGGTTCGTACATACAAATGAGTCTTATTTCTTGTTGAATTTGCTTGAGAATGGTGTGTGGGCTAGCTCCCTGAATCTAATGCTGTTCATGAAAATTTTTGAGAGTTGTTCTAGTTACAAGAGGTCAGTAAGACTAAAAAGAAATAAGTATTGAGTTCTTTAAGTGCCCAAACTTGCCTTTTAAGATTTATTAGGAATAGGATAATAACATTGTTATATTAATGCTACATTAGTATTACAGTATTTATTAATTACTGAAGCTTTGCATTTCATTGCCACAAAATATAGATGAAAGCATATCTAGAAATAAGCCTTAGAGTTGACCAACATGTTTTAAAAGACTATAGTTACATTTTATTGGCAGTCCACCAACCTATTCTTCATTAAGTTTATTTCAACCATTTACATTATCAAATGATATAATTTTGTCATTAGAAGTATTTGTGATGTCTTGCGGTTATCTGCTGTATATTAGGTACATTATATTCTCAACGTAAATTAATTTATAGTTTTTCCCCATTTATTTCTCTGAATCCAGAGTAAGCAGAATTTTTGTTTGGTTTTATGAAGGTACACTGTACATTATCCCAAATCTGTAACCATGATTTGAATTTGTATTTTGTTGTAGTTTACTCTTGATTCTTTACATTTTTGTAATAGCACATGTGATAAAGTAGTTCTTCATATTGCAATATCTTAAGTTTTAATTATATTCATCCTAAGTCTGGTTAAAACCTGGTACAGCATGATACTGACAAGTTGTGGTTAAGGACATGTGTAGTATGTTTGGAGTGAATGGGATCCCAGGACATAAATGTTTTCATAATGAAATGTCCTAAGTATTTTCTCATGTCTTTAGCCATATACAAAGTTTTATGAATAAGTTGGATATTCATAAACAGCATATGGATCATGGTCTGGGTTAAAATTGTCTGGTGAAGTTGTTGTTGTTATATCCTGGTTGTTAGATGATCTGAAGAGGAAGAAAAAGAAAATTTACCCTTCAACAAAACTGAATTTTCTCAAGTAGTCACATGCATTAAATCTTGATTTATATCAATAAAGTTCATTTAACCCTTAAACGGTCCAAACGTATATATACGTTCTCTCACCTAGTGCCCCAAACGTATATATACGTTTCCTTTGTCATTCATTCAACATTGGCACGATATGCCTGAGTTGCCTAGACATGAGAGAATAGGTGTGTGCACTCAGTGTGCGCCATATGAAAAAAATTGGGGATGCCTGGGTACCAAATGATCTTTTTTCCTATTAAAAAAAAAAATTCTCGAAAAATTTGGGGCGCTGCACGAGTGAACGTATACGTATATACATTTGGACCGTTTAAGGGTTAAGGTATGTCACTTAAGTAAGTACTACAGAATGTATAAATTTTATACCCTGGTTTTCTTGCTTGCTTTTGAACTTCCTTAAAATCTTTAAAGACGGGATCTCCAACATTTCCTCCCCGACGAATCATCATACTAGACTTCCAGAGAGAATACTGGGGTCCTCGGAAGTCATACCAGTACAGGCCAGTGTATTGATGGTCAGCTGGCACTGGGCCATGGAGATACCTCCCATTCAGGTTGCTGGAGAATTAGTAGGTTTAGTAATACTCTAAAAGTTTAGAGCACAACACAGTACTGTGCCAAATTAATGTACCACATAGTTTTTCCAGTGCTCAAACTTTCCTTAACATACGATAGAAGGTAAATACATAGCAAAAAAAAAAAATCATGAGAAAGATATGCTAAATTGTAAGCAATTGCTCTTTATTTTTCAAATGTGAAAATATGAAAGCAGTCTTTTTATGTAAATTTACAATACAATGTTAAATATTTTTCACTGATGGGCTTATGTACACAAGTAGTGTATCGTATAGTCATAATTACATTTGTGGAGTCTCTAATCTTAATAATGCTCATGTTTCAGGCATGACTGAAGCTAACTTACACAGTAATATAGGTACATATTACAGGGTTTCCCTCATATTTTTGCATGATTCCTTTATGCTATTATATGATGTCCCATGTCTATCAGTGATTTCATATGTATGATGTACATTCTCCATGTATGATTGTTGAAGATCCTAGAACGTAAGAAAATAAATTTTGTTTTTAACACACTGGCAATCTCCCACTGAGGTACATTGCCCAGCATGTTAACAAAAAAATTATATTCTTTACATTCAAGTAACTTCACTAATCACACAAGGAGAATGTGAAAGTTGAAAGTGAACATTAATAAAAATAAGGTGATGAGGGTATCAAATGATTTAGATAAAGAAAAACTGGATATCACATTGGAGAGAGGGAGTATGGAAGAAGTGAATGTTTTCAGATATTTGGGAGTTGACGTGTCAGTGGATGGGTTTATGAAGGATGAGGTTAATCATAGAATTGATGAAGGAAAAAAGGTGAGTGGTGCATTGAGGTATATGTGGAGACAAAAAATGTTATCTATGGAGGTAAAGAAGGAAATGTATGAAAGTATAGTGGTACGAACACTCTTATATGGGTGTGAAGCCTGGGTTGTAAAAGCTGCAGCGAGGAGATGGTTAGAAGCAGTGGAGATGTCCTGTCTAAGGGCAACGTGTGGTGTAAATATTATGCAGAGAATTCAGTTTGTGGAAATTAGGAGAAGGTGCGGAGTTACTAAAAGTATTAGTCAGAGGGCTGAAGGTGGTTTGTTGAGGTGGTTTGGTCATTTAGAGAGAATGGATCAAGGTAGAATGACATGGAGAGCATATAAATCTGTAGGGGAAGGAAGGCGGGGTAGGGATCATCCTTGAAAAGGTTGGAGGGAGGGGGTAAAGGAGGTTTTGTGGGCGAGGGGCTTGGACTTCCAGCAAGCATATGTGAACGTGTTAGATAGGAGTGAATGGTGATGAATGGTTTTGGGGACCTGATGAACTATTGGAGTGTGAGCAGGGTAATATTTAGTGAAGGGATTCAGGGAAACCAGCTATTTTATATATAGCCAGACTTGAGTCCTGGAAATGGGAAGTACAATGCCTGCACTCTAAAGGAGGGGTTTGGGATATTGGCAGTTTGGAAGGATACGTTTTATATATATATATATATATATATATATATATTATATATATATATATATATATATATATATATATATATATATATATATATAATATATATATATAATAGTATATAATATAATGGTAGTAGGTTGGTAGACAGCAACCACCCAGGGAGGTACTACCGTCCTGCAAGTGAGTGTAAAACGAAGCCTGTGATTGTTTTACATGATGGTAGGATTGCTGATGTCTTTTGTCTGTCTCATAAATATGCAAGATTACAGGCATGTCTTGCTACTTCTACTTACACTTAGGTCACACTACACATACATGTACACATTTATTTATACACACTCATCTGAGTTTTCTTGATTTTATCTTAATAGTTCTTGGTCTTATTAATTTTCCTTTTATATCCATGGGGAAGTGGAATAAGAATCTTTCCTCCGTAAGCCATGCGTGTTGTAAAAGTCAACTAAAATGCCGGGAACAATGGGCTAGTAACCCCTTTTCCTGTAAAGATTACTAAAAAGAATAAGAAAAAGAAAATTGTAAAAGTGGGAATTTAAATGTGCGGGGGAGGGTTTTTGCAGATGATAAAAAAGAGATGATTGGGGTTTATGAATAGAAGAAGCTGGATGCCCCCTGGTTTTAAGTTGAAACAAGTTTAAAGGGGGGTGGGAGAGTTTCATTTGGGAGGGAAAAAATTGGGATTAGGTCGGGGGTTTTTCAAATAGAGTTAGGGGTAAAGAAGGGGGGTAGCAATAATGTTAAAGGGAAAAGCTATGGCAGGAAAAGGGGGACTATAAATGTTTTAAATTAAGATTAGGTGGAGTAAAAAAAAAGTTTTGGATGTAAAAAGTGGGTTATAAAAGCGGGGAAATAAAACCGGGGAGAAGAGAGAAGTGTAAGGGGGGGAAGAGAGATTTTTTGGGGAAAATTTGTTGAGTGAATGCGTGGGGAGTTTTGAATCAAGTGTGAGAGAAATGGTGGTTGGGGTTTTTTAATGCTAAAGTGGGGTAAAAATTTTATGGAGGGAGTAGTAGGTAATTTGGGGTCCGGGGTAAAAAAAAAAAGGGGACCCTTTTAATTTGGGAGCTATGTGTAAAAAGGGAAATTTGGAAATTAAAAAAACCCATATTTTATAAAAAAGAGTTTAAATAAATATACAAGGTATGATGTAGCAGTAATGAAAGGGTTTATTGGGTTTATGTATTTTTGGAAAAAAGGGTTAAAGGGGTAGGTCCCAGGATTTTCAGGTTTATAGAGGGGCAACTGAAAAATTGGGAAACATTATTTATTTGTAGCTACTTTAGAGAAAGAGGTAGATGGGAAAACAGGAAGGTGGCAACAAAAAGGGAAAAGGGGGGGTGAAAGGTAAAAACAAAAGGGAGGGGGGAAGTTGGGGTTGAATATAAGCGACTAGGGGCAAAAAGGTGGGCTAGTAAAAAAGGGGGATAGGGGGGGGGTTGAAGGGGGTTTGGAATATTTTTAAAAAAAAATGCAGTATTAGAATTTTGGGCAGAAGTTTTGTTTTTTTTGGGAAAAGGGTGGGGGCAGGAGGAAAAGAGGAGTGTTTGGGGGAATGTTGAAGAAAAGGGGGTGGGGAAAAAAGGGAGAAAAAGGTAGCTTTGGGGGTTTTTTAAAAAAGCAAAAGTGTTATAAGAAGAGCAATTTTTATGGAGAGTAAAAAAAAGTAAAGAGAGTGGTGAAGAGGTTTCAAAAGGAGAGCAGATGATAGAGTGGGAGAGGGAACTGTCAAGAAATTTTTAAAAAAATAAGAAAAAAATTTTTGGGGTGAGTTAAACAATTTTAAAAAAGCCAAAGGGGAAAATATGGATTTTAGTTTTTAAAAAAAGAGTAGGGGGGTTAGTAGATGGGGAGAGGAGGTATTGGGTTTGATGGCGGGGAAATTTGAGGAACTTTTAAAAGTTAGGAAGAAACGAGGGGTAATTTTTATGCACTGGTCAGGGGGGAAAACCATCTTTTTGGAGGGAAGGCAGAAGTAAGGGGGGGGAGGTAAAATTAGGGATTAGTAAAATGAAAAGGGGGTTTTAAAACAGCTGGAACCCGAGGGGGGCATGATAGGGAAAAGGGGAAAAGCCGGGGGGGATATAGTGTTGGGGTGGTTTTGGAATTTTGTTTTTTAAAAGTAGAAGAGGGGAAGGTCCTTGGGAATTGGGGAGAGAGCATGTATAGTCCCCTTTTTATAAAGGGGAAAAGGGGGAAAAAAAGACTGTAAAAAAAATAGAGGAATAAGCTTCTGAGTATCCCGGAAAAAATGTACGGTAGGGTTTTTAAATTTAAAGGGAAATTTGAGGTAAGGGCAAATGTAAAGGGTTGCCCGGGTGGGGGCAAGGAGGTTTTTTGGTGGGTAGGGGATGTGTAGATCAGGTGTTTACATTGAAGCATATATGTGAACAGTATTTAGATAAAGATAGGGAAGTTTTTATTGCATTTATGGATTTAGAAAAGGCATATGATAGAGTGGATAGAGGAGCAATGTGGCAGATGTTGCAAGTATATGGAATAGGTGGTAAGTTATTAAATGCTGTAAAGATTTTTATGAGGATAGTGAGGCTCAGGTTAGGGTGTGTAGAAGAGAGGGAGACTACTTTCCCGGTAAAAGTAGGTCTTAGACAGGGATGTGTAATGTCACCATGGTTGTTTAATATATTTATAGATGGGGTTGTAAAGGAAGTAAATGCTAGGGTGTTTGGGAGAGGGGTGGGATTAAATTATGGGGAATCAAATTCAAAATGGGAATTGACACAGTTACTTTTTGCTGATGATACTGTGCTTATGGGAGATTCTAAAGAAAAATTGCAAAGGTTAGTGGATGAGTTTGGGAATGTGTGTAAAGGTAGAAAGTTGAAAGTGAACATAGAAAAGAGTAAGGTGATGAGGGTGTCCAAATGATTTAGATAAAGAAAAATTGGATATCAAATTGGGGAGGAGGAGTATGGAAGAAGTGAATGTTTTCAGATACTTGGGAGTTGACGTGTCGGCGGATGGATTTATGAAGGATGAGGTTAATCATAGAATTGATGAGGGAAAAAAGGTGAGTGGTGCGTTGAGGTATATGTGGAGTCAAAAAACGTTATCTATGGAGGCCAAGAAGGGAATGTATGAAAGTATAGTAGTACCAACACTCTTATATGGGTGTGAAGCTTGGGTGGTAAATGCAGCAGCGAGAGACGGTTGGAGGCAGCGGAGATGTCCTGTTTAAGGGCAATGTGTGTGGTGTAAATATTATGCAGAAAATTCGGAGTGTGGAAATTAGGAGAAGGTGTGGAGTTAATAAAAGTATTAGTCAGAGGGCAGAAGAGGGGTTGTTGAGGTGGTTTGGTCATTTAGAGAGAATGGATCACAGTAGAATGACATGGAAAGCATATAAATCTATAGGGGAAGGCAGGCGGGGTAGGGGTCGTCCTCGAAAGGGTTGGAGAGAGGGGTAAAGGAGGTTTTGTGGGTAAGGGGCTTGGACTTCCAGCAAGCGTGTGTGAGCGTGTTAGATAGGAGTGAATGGAGACGAATGGTACTTGGGACCTGACG